GGGGGGGGTTGTCAGAACCGTTCAACACGGAGCGAGGAATAATACAAGGTTGCTGCACAAGTCCACTTGTGCAACAGAGGAAGCATCTCGCATAGAACTAAATTGGATAGAAAAGTGGCAGAAGAGGCACTCGAACAAGAAGCACGAGAGAAAGTAAAAAGAGCGGTAATGTGCAGCTCGATTGAGGAAGGAGGTTTGCATGTTATAAGTGTCAAAGATCAACAAAAGATTTTTTCTCTTAAATTGGTTAAAACTTATGGCAACTGTTACTAATGAGCCCAGGACGTATTGAACGAGAGGCAAACACCGTGCTTCTTGACCATGAGACACCCCCCCCCCCTTCCCCCAAGTAAAGTTTTGAAATAGCAGAATTACTCTCTACTCTGACATAACAAACAACAATTACCTTGACCGGGCATTATAACTTAGTAGACAAAACAAGTCGGTTCACAGTCCTTTCCAGCCAACAGTGATGCTTTCCACCTTTCTGTTCCGATATTTATTTTCTCTTAACCAAACCAGGTCGTTCCTATGAATAGTACCTTGCACATCTGATTTGAAAACGATTCGATCTTTCAGACTTTAAAGCCGACACAACGCGCCATTCTTCTTCAAAATACGATCAAAGTAAAAACCAAAGTAGCAATATCACATCACATTAGATTGATCAGTCAGGCGTATTGCCATGCGCCGCCTTGTATTCAATGGGATTCCTACATCGAACAAAATCAGTCCACAAGTTCACGTAATAGGAATACTAGTCGAAAGAGGAAAAAAAGGGATTCTGTCCCACGATTTAGAATTTCTTTAATAATTTAGATTATGATGTCAAATATCACAATGGTATTCTGGCCACCCATTCGACTGCGACAAGGATTCGTTGCGTGCACCCACCTTATGGGGTTATATCACCGTCCTGTCAGGACGAGATCGGACCGGTTCTTTAGGAGGATAAGATTAGGAACAAATTTTTAAGTTGTCACGTTGTTTCAAAGGTCAGTGCGCATGTGTGTATTTGTCATGTGTTTGTGCGTGTTTGTGAACTATGTATGTACATCTGTATGCAAGTGTGAGTGCGTAAGTGTGTGTGTGTTCGTGTGTGTGTGTGTGTGTGTGTGTGTGTGT